GCCCTGTCCATCTGCACCATGCTTTCCCCGCCCATTGCTCACTGATTGGCTGGCTCACCAATCACCCCACCTCTGANTTGTGATTGTAAGCCGCCCTGAGTCCCCTCAGGGAGAAGGGCGGCCTATAAATCTCAATAAAATGAGTAAAAAAAAAGAAAGAAAAAAAAAGACCTTTTCTGGATTGCTGGTGGTGGAGGTGCGGGCCTGTCGCCCTGTGCTCAGCAAAGCAAGTCTGGGAAAGTCCTTTGCACCAGCCAAAAAAGGTCTTCACTCCCTCCCTCTTGCAGCACGGCCTGATGCGAAAAATGCCGAGAATGGCGCGCTTGAGGCTGCTGTCCAGGGAGGCTAAACTAAGCCGCGTACCTCTTCCAGCCGCTTTCGCAGCTTCCCAGAGTGCCAAGAACCTTCGCTGTCGGACTGGAAACCCAAGCCCCATTAGCCCCCAAAACCGCTTCTGGACATCTATTGCAGTCGCGAGGAGCCGAGAAGAGCACGAAGGTTAGGGTTACTGGACAACATGTGTGTGGATGGGGGGAGGCTGGAGCAGTTCCCCTCTGAATGGAGGGAGAGGGGAAAAGTTGGGATTCTCCCTACTGCAGCCTTTAAATGGCAGAGAGAAGAAAAACTTTTTCCCCTCCATTCACAGAGGAGCTGCGGCTCCCTTTATGCACCCCCCGCCCCCTCCCTCCCGGGGGTTGAAATACCACAGCTCCACTTTGAAGACATTTCTGAGAAAAGAAAGGGCTCTGGTCCAGCTGCACCCAAGCTGGTGGAGCGCCCGTGTGATCGGAGCAACCACGTGGCTCACCTGCACTGGCTGTCTCCCTGGTGACGGGCGGACGGTTGCGGGCACTCCACCAGCTTGGGTGAAGCCGGACCGGAGCCCTTTCTCTTCTCAGAAATGTCTTCTCAGTGGAGTTATGGCAGCCTGCCTGTCCCTTTCAGGTACTTCAACCCCCAGGAGCAGCAGAAGGAGCAGCAGCGGGTGCCACCCCACCCCCCGGTGGGCAGCGTCCTCCTCAGGAGCCTCGAGTAGCGACTGTTTGCATGTCTCTCCCAAGCTTCTCTCAGGAGGTGAAATGGCAGGCAATCCTCTGGCAGAGCCTCCAGGTGAAAGGCGAGGAGCTGGGCAGAGGAAGGGGGCAACTACTGCTGGAGCTGCGTTGCCCCGCTGGGTTCAGGGACTTCTGCCCCTCATGCCGTGCTCTGCAGCCACCGGAGCCCTGCACAGACCTCTTGCTCTGGTGGCTTCAAAACGCAGCACAAGGGGAAGAAGTCCCCGAACCCAGCGGGGCAACGCAGCTCCACCAGTAGCAGTAGTTGCCCCCTTCCTCCGCCCAGCTCTCCGCCTCCTTTGCTTAGGCTCCCTGCTGGGTTCGGGGGCTTCTGCCCCCTCGTGTCACACTTTGCAACCACTGGAGCCCCACACGGACCTCTTCATGGTGCTGGGCAGCCTGGTTCTGGGGATTCCCCCCTGCCCCCCCAAAAAAGACTGCCTGCTCGTCTCTCCAGATCTTGCGGCTTTTGGGGGGGTTTCTTTTAAAAAATGCCTCTCCAGACAATCTTGAATGATGCTCCCTGTCTGTCCCCTCCCAAAGCAACCTCACAGGTTTTCAAGATCGTCTGGAGAGGTGTTTTTTAAAAGAAACCCCCGAAAAAGCTGCAAGAACCAGAGTGACGGGTGGTCGGTCTTTTTCTGTGTGTGTGTGGGGGGGAGAATTCCCAGAACCAAGTTGCCCAACACCCCATAAGAGGTCCATGTGGGGCTCCGGCACCTGCAAAGCGCAGCACGGGGGCAGCAGCATGCTGCCCTGATCAACTGGCTTATAGTTGGCAGCAGGCAGCCCTCGCTTCCCCTTCCTCCGCCCGGCTCTCCACCTCCTCCTTTGCTTAGCCTCCCTTCCCACCTGGCACAGAAAAGGGGCTCAACTTTAAAATGGGGCACCTTGGCCTTGGGCCACCGCGGGGTTTTCTCTGCTAGCTGCGTCTCGCTTTGGGTAAAGGAGGAGGAGAGGAGGTCGTAAGGCAGAAGAGAAACTTCTTCCCCCTGCCTTCCGGATCGCCAGCATGAGCATGGCTCTTCAGGAGCTCAGCAACAACGTGAGTAGGAATGGCGGCTGCCCACACACCCGCTTTCAGTTGAGGGCAGGCTTGTTTTGCAAAAGCGCAGTGCAGCCGAGGGTTGAAGAAACCACCCGATGCAAAGGCGGGGATGCTTTTTGTGGGGGAGGGGGGATGCCATACCCGCAACTTTTATCCCTTTTCCACCCACCTACCACCACCACCCCACGTGTCTAGGCACTACGTTGGGGGAACTTGGGCATGATTTGTCTTGAACACGGGACAGGCGTGCGCCCCCCTGCCCACCTCTGCAGTTTTGCAGATTGGCTGGCTGTGGCGTATGGGCCCTTTTTGAAGCCGGGTTGAGTCCTTCCTTGGGATGGATGCCCATACACGAGGAGCACAGGCTAGGACCAAGTGCCCTCATCCGTTTCTCCCAAAGGTACTGTGGGAAGTTATCATCCAGCCCTCTCCCAGAAAAATGAAATATCCTAGGAAATATTGAAAAGGCAGAATGTTTCTCTGGATGTGAAAAGAAGCATTTTTTAAAAGACAGAATAGTTGCCTGTAGCTTCCTGCCCACCCCCACTTTGTCAATAGGCCCATTAAGACTAGCCAGGCTAGCCCACTTTACATAATAAAGACTTCAGCAGCAGCTACAGAAAGGCATGATAATAATTGGCCTTTTACTCAACTCTCCACATGGCATCTGAGAACTCATACCTGGATTCAAAACAGCCTAGAGAGTAGCCCCTGCATGGCCCCATGTGAGTCTGACAACCAAATAGAATACATTGCTTACACAGGAACAGGAAACAGAGAGGTGGGACTAAACAGGGTATAAAAAGCCTAGCAAGCCCCTCCTTCAGCCCTTTCTGCTCTCCTTTTCTCCTTCTCCACCAACATTGAACCATGTGATCACCTTTTCTGTTCAGGGCTCAAGCCATGAGGTCCTGTCCAACAATAAACCATCTTTCCAAGCAGCCTCCATGTCTCCAGTGTCTTCTTCCCCACTTGGAGCTGAACCCAGAAGGACATTTCTTTCAACAGTACTTTTTTCCTCCAAGAGACAACTGGACTTTCTGGTTTTTCTTTGAAGATGTTTTGCTTCTTCTCCAGGAAGCTTCTTCAGCTCTGAAGAAGCTTCCAGAGGAGCTGAAGAAGCTTCTTGGAGGAGAAGTGAAAGGTTTTCAAAGAAAAAGCAGAAAGTCCAGCTGCCTCTTGGGAAAAAAAAAACGTCTTTGAGACATCCTGGATGACCAAGAATCCCCATAGACATCCCTCATCCTAGCTTTCTGATGCCTCCTAGCCTTGTTTGCCTTCCATCCCTTGTGGTGGCCACTCTCCCAAAGCCCATGATAGTTGAGCATCAATAAGTCCTCTTGTAGTGTCAAGGGTGGCTGAGGGTTCAGAGGTGGCACACACCCATGGTTTCCTGATTGCCAGGGCTATTTGGGAAATCTAAGCTGGAGAAACCTGGTCTGTCCCAAACTTTTGAAGCTGGTGGGCTCTGGATAAAAGTCAAAGCCTGAGCTTGATGCTGACCTAGAGGTTTTTGTTGAAATCCTGGTTTAAGTTTTGGAGAAAGACTTATTTCACCCTAAACTTGTGACTGCTTTTATCAAACCTTAGAGTGATTTAGAAAGAAAGAGAGAAAGAAAGAGAAAGAGAGAAAGAAAGAGACAGAGAAAGAGAGAAAGAAAGAGACAGAGAAAAAAGAAGGAAGGAAGGAGGGAGGGAAGAGAGAAAGAAACAAAGTGGGAGAGATACACACAAGAAAGGAAGGAAGGAATGGAGGGAGAGGGAGAGGAAAAAAGATAGACAAAGATAGACAGAGAAAGAGAAAGAAGGAAAGAGAAAGAAAGAAAGAAAGAAAGAAAGAGAAAGAAAAAAAGAAAGAAAGAAAGAAAGAGCACTTATGACCACAATTGAGCCCAAAAGTTTGGTTGCTAAGCAAGAGTGTCATTAGGTGAGTTTCACCATATTTTCCAAGTTGACCATGCCAATACGATCACATGATCGCCAAGCCACTTCCACCCAGTCACATGACTGCCAAGCCACTCCCACAAAACAGGCCACACCTACAGAAGACATTGTAAAAATTTTTGAAACCCACCACTGGTAGGTAGGTAGGTAGATAGAGGGATAGAGAGAGAGAGAGAAAGAGAGAGAGAGAGAGAAATACAGTAGGTAGGGAGAGAGAGAGAGAGAGAGTAGTGTGGAAAGTTATCACCCAGCCATCTCCCAGAAAAATGAAATATCCTAGGAAATATTGAAAAGGCAGAATATTATATTTCCCTGGATGTGAAAAGGAAGAAACACGTTTTAAATTGAGAATAGCTCCCTGTAGCTTCCTGCCTCCACCTACTTTGTCAATGAGCCATTAAGAAGGCCAAGCCAGTCCCTTTACATAATAAAGAGTTCCCCCCTTCAGCTCCAGGGGGATGGGATTAAGGCATGATAATATTGGCCCTTTATCCAACTTGCCACATGGCATCTGAGAACTCAACCAAACCTGGACTCAAAGCACAGCCTAGAGAGTTGACCCTGCATGGCCCCCTGGGAGTCTGACAACCAATCAGAATACAAGCTCAAGATCAAAGGCCAGAGGGGGCATAAAACCAGGGACTTTTAGCATCTCTGTCTTTTTTTCTTCTTTACCCAACATCTGGAAGCATGGGATCCCCCTTTTCTTTTCAGGAGCTCAAGCCATGCGATCCTGTCCACCCTTAAACCATCTTTCCAAGCAGCCTCCATGTCTCCAGTGTCTTTTCCTCCACTTGGAGCTGAACCCAGAAGGACATTTCTTTCAACAGTGTCAAAGCATAATTTGTGTCATGTTTCCTATACGGAGAGGAGGGAAACAGACTGTGATGACTTACGAGTTCCTGTACTTTTCTTTATTTAAAGTATCGCCACCTGTTTGTTTTTAATTACAGCCTTCTGAATTTTCTGCCTGCCCTTTGGAAACTGATGAGAAAGTGAACGATTGGCTGAAGTTTTTTGAAATGGCAGCTCCGCTGATTTGCCAGCCTGTGATTGTTTCTCAAGATCCAGTAAGGAAATTCTATTGCTATTTTTCAAGTGAGATCCCAACTTAACTGGCCTGAATGCAAAGTGGTCATTATTTTAAACAATCATCCACTCCATTTGCTCCAGGTGCCATAACATGCACCAAAGAATTGGGAAAATATCCAGTGAGAACCAGCTGGGTGTAGTGGTTAAGGTGCTGGCCTAGAAACCAGGAGGCTGTGACTTCTAGTTCCTTGTTAGGCATGGAAGCTTGGGCCAAATTTTCTCTCGGTCCAACCCATGTCATAGCTTTGTTGCTGTGACAAAAGTAGAAGGAGGATGGCATATCTATCTATCCATCCATCCATCCATCCATCCATCCATCCATCTATCTATAAATGGCGCTGTGTTTGTGTGTGTGTTCAGGCATAACTTTGGAACACCTCAAGCAATTTCAACCAAATTTGGTATACAGGTGACTTACTCTCCAAAAACAAGTACTGTGTGGGTAAGACACCCCTAACATCCCTTGGGGTGTGTGTTCTGTAACGATACAGCCTGTTGTGCCTTCAAACGGCTTCTACTGTACTGCCGTAAAATGGCTTATACTGTGCAGTGGAGTTGCCATGGTAATGGCTTCACACTACTCCACAAGGAAGCTCCCTCTGGTAAGGGGAAAAATCCAACATTGGAAATTACTTTTGGTCCGGACATTGTCCCCCTATAAATAAATACCCGGACAACACCAGGTTATCAGCTAGTTCTATTATAAATGTTCCCCATCTTGAGTGTACAAAGCTATTGGTGCAGCTTTGTCATGACACATGTCACCCAAAATACACAAATTATCCTCATTCAGCTACCACTGTTGAGAGTGGCAACTGGGTTGTTAGGCAAAGCAGTTGTTGTGAAACCATGACCGTATTTATGATCTTACTGCAGCTTTCCTTTGATTTACAGACTTGTAAAACTTGCCTCAAAGTTACTTTTTAATCATTGCCGTAACTGAAGAGTAGCTAAATGAGACTGTCAGGGTTCCAAATAGCATCCAAAAGTAAGTCAGAGTCCAAGGCAAAGTATTGCTCAAAGTTCTAATTTATTAAGAGTGTCGTGTTGGCACATCTGGGAAAACCCGAATCTGAAAGCTTCCCGGTTTTCCCCATCTAGTTGAAAGTTCAAGAACCTGCCCCTACACCCACAAGCCCATCACATGGTCTAATCTCCCACTGCCATGCTGGCAGTTCCACACATCCAGTTCCGGTCAGGTGCAGAGACAAAGGATGACCTTGGCTTTCTAGAAAGAATTTTGTTACGGCTACATAGCATCTAACGCCTTACAATCCCCCCTCCCATTTTCCCACAATAGAAAATGCATAGCGGACTAATAGAAAGTGTGGCAGGNATCCATCCATCCATCCATCCATCCATCCATCCATCCATCCATCCATCCATCCATCCATCCATCCATGGTATCCTTGGTCATTGATTTCCATCAACACAGTTCTCTTTCAGCTCTAGAATTCATAGAACTTGCTCTCTATTGACTATGCTTTTGGTACTGCTTCTTTCGTCATACTTAGGCTATAGGTACTGTATATCAATTCTCTCTTTTTCAGTTATCTAGACAAGAAGGCCACAAAGTGTCAATAGGGGTGCATGTAGGAAAAGGCTTAAGCAAGATAACCCATTCTATTGGAAATCTCTAATGAGGCGAAGGCAAAGCAGGGCTGTATTCAGCCACTACAATACGGGCATGTTTTATTTCAAATTACATTAACATGGATCTCATCAATCAGCAACAGAGTTGTGACATCCTGCATTCATCCATAGTCACCTAATGGTATTTCATATCCCCATGTAGAAACTCAAACACACACTTTGTATTAGTTTTGCCAATAAGGAGAAGGTGGGATTACATGATTCTTTAATGTCTCATAGGAATTATTCCCATAGGAGAGACAACTGGGAAGGGGTACAGATGCTGGACTGGCATTAGAGGCAGAGTCTTAAATCATCAGAAGGACAACTGGGATGGAGGTAATGGCTGGCAACTAAGATGGATTCTAGTCAGCTCTGGCTGGTGAAGATTTATGGTTTTAATAAAGGTCAATGTGACATAGTAAATCCAAATTGGATTGGGCAGTATTTATATTACTAAAGGCTTGTTTGTTGGAAGTGGCCCAAGATCATGAAGTAGAGGAAGATAAGCCAGAAAAGATGGCTGAAGATGAAGAGCAGGCAGCACTGTCTACCCAATGCAGATGAGCCTCATAGGGTTAAATATGACAAATGTTTTACCAGCACCAATTATCGAGAGAATACAATTATCTGTAAGCTATTCCTTGCAGAATGCAATGTTAAGCCAACATTTAATTCTTACATATCGAAGTAAAAAAAAGGGACGTTACATAAAATTCAGTAATACAGAAGAAAAATAAGTCATCCAACACTTTACAATCTCAAATACTCGATTACAATTGGGTAAAAGAAAGGATGTGTGATGGAATGCAGTATTCTATATATAAATTATAATTTTCAGGCACTTGAATGGAGTGGTCTGTCAATGCCCTATTGCAGTGTTTCTCAAACTTGGCAATTTTAAGATGTGTGGACTTTAACTCCCAGAATTCCCCAGCCAGCCAAGTTGCCAAGTTTGAGAAACACTGCCATATAATTCTCCTAACTCCCAATTTCGGAATTGGAGCATGTGTCTGTCTGTTTGTCCATTTTCTTTAGCCACCTAACTCACAAAATGCTTTTTGTGTCCTTTTAGAATGAAGAAAAAGATGAGGTATTTGAAAGAGTGAATGGGTGAGTGAATGAGTGAATCAACTACTTAATCTGTAAAAGTAAAAAAAAATCAAGATGATATTTTATTTATTTATTTATTTAGTTTGTCAAACATGTAAAAAAATAAAATGTATAAGTATAAACATAAATATGAACACGGTAAATGTGTACGAATAAATGGAGACAGTAGGACAGGGACAGTAGGACAGGGACAGTAGGCACACTGGTGCACTTATACATGCCTCTTACAGACCTCTTGGGAATGGGGTGAGGTCAACAGTAGACAGTCAGTCTAAGGTTAACTTTTTGGGAGTTTGAGGATCAACAGTCAGGTAGAGCATTCCAGGCATTGACCACTCTGTTGCTGAAGTCATATTTTCTGCAACCAAGTTTGGAGCAGTTTACTTTGAGTTTGTATCTATTGTTTGCTCGTGTATTATTGTGGTTGAAGCTGAAGTAGTCATTGACAGGTAGGACGTTGTAGTGGATAATTTTGTGTACTACCCTTAGGTCAGACCATAGGCAGCATAGTTCTAGGTTCTCTGAACCTCAAATTTCAATCTGGTGGCATAGGGTATTCTGTTCTGAATACCCTAATGTCAAGATGATAAAGTTTAAAAATGCTAGAACTAAAAAAGTTTCATTTTAAATTAGAGAACTTATATTAAATTAAGAATCTTTTGATATTATAAAAATGTCTTACATTTCTAAACTTAAACTTGTACCTTGTTGGAAAATAGACTGAAGTATAAATTAAGACATTTCTAATTGTAAACTCACTTTATACACTTATTGTATCGTTTTTGTCAAGGCATTATATCCTCCCAGCCCAAATTATAATGTAACTATGAGCATAATCATGCCAGCCAATTATTTAGGATTTTTCATGATTGTTGAGAGAACCTTTGGTAAAGTTTTGTAGGCTCAGGAAGTGCTATAGGAAGAGTGAGTATTTCACTAAGTATGGTTGTAAATAAAATCTGTCTTCACTGACTATTTTGGTATCTTTATATGTGTTGCATATTGCAGGAATAAGCAAAGGAGTAGATGATGCTACTGACATAATTTTACTTGTATTGTAATAACTGTGAACTTCTATTGTTTTCTGAATACTCATAATCATCTCCACTTCCTGTTATATCTGCTGCTTGGCTGAAAGCTTCTTATTAGAAATCATTTTGGACTCTACAGGATGCTATGGCTGTCTGCATGTTCAGGTCCTCAGCCTGATCCCATTCAGTAATGGCAGAGGAATCTTTGTGACTGTAGATCTATGGCCTCTGTCAGCCCTAGATTAGTGAAGGCAATTTCTGATTTCTGTTTACTAATGTTTCTTTTCAGGCGATTTTGCTGTTCTTTGAACAATTTTTGTTAAAAGAAGAAATTTTTCTTATCAGTCCAAAATGTTGTATTTAGCATTAAAGACAACTTTCTGGGAGCAAAAATTGTTACAAGAGTCAATAAGATTGATAAAAAGAAAGTGGGAACCCATTCCAATCTCTTTGGATTGGTTTGCTCAGTGTGTCCTGTTCCCCCCAATCTTCCATGTAGGTTTGTTGTTACATAACCACAAAATTCAGAAGAGTATTTGTTTTGGGAAGTATTTCCAGACTCGGGCTCGGTTTCAACCTGACTTCCAAGAGGGTTCTGACTTGCTTTGGGATGAAGCCAGATCATGCATTCAGATGAAGGGTTGCTGGCAGAGCCTACAGAAGGACAACCCAGGTAGGATACAATAAGAGGGCCAAGCAGCACACTGGGAATTAAGAGAATCCCACGCTCTATTTCCAGACTGACTCTTTTTCTTAAGAAAAAGAAGGAAAAGTTTATTTTTCTTCAGAAAAGAGTATATGCGTTCTTCGTAACTCAGCATTTCCAGGTGTTTAAACAAGGCATGACTGAATTACACATAAAGATACAGCTTGTAATAGAAAATGAATAGGCAGCCAAAGGCTCTGCTGTTTATGCCTCTGGAAACCCCACTCTTCAAACATGTCATGCTCAGAGAGAGAGAGAACATCTGGAAAAGAAGCCCGCAGAGTGTTATATTGCACACTGAAAATTCAATCTGGATTTATTTGATTTGGAACGGTGTAAAATCAAAGAGAGGGTGAAAAATAACTTCACATCTTCATTGACGAGTATGAAACTGAGGGGCAAAACTTTTTAAAAGTTCAACCCAGCTAAAACATGCAGAGAAACTTAAAGTAACTAAAAGTTTTGCAAAAGAGCAAAAGATATCAGTTGCTTAACAGTTAATGAAATATTATTTGGCAAAGAAAAGATTGGAAATTACTTTGAGGTAAGTCACTGTTTAGGATAATTAGAATATTAATATGAATTTTGGCAACATTTGCCTTGGGTAACTGTACCTTTAAGGCAATGCAGGTATTTTGTTCAGGAAGGAGAGCAAACAGTTGGCTCTTGAGTACAGAGTAATAAATTAAAATGTCTTATAAATCAAGTGTTTTACAAAAGCATGAATGGCTGATTGCATGATGTGATTAAAATCATCAAGGGAAAAGCATTCCACTCAACAATATGTCAAAGCAACACACCTGTATCTTTGAAAGCAACTTTCAAGCCACACTTTGCAGAACTTTAAAGGCAGTGGAGTTTTTACTTGGGGCTTATATATAACTAGAGGTGGGGAGACAGAATCAAATGTCATATAAATAGGCTGGTCAGGCTCTCTTATATTGGGATTGGTGTTTGATTGACAATTATAAGTTGTATATGGCGATGCTGCAAATCATTGAAGTGGCACTAGAAAAGAGATTTTTAAGATTTTCTCCAATTCCATAATTGAATTCCCCATACAGTAGAAGCTCTAGTCATGAATGCTTCTGACCATGACCAAATCGGGTTCCGACCAAAAAATCCACAATTTTTTCCCACAGCTGATTTCCCCTTCCGCACCATTTTTTTTGTAAGCACCAAATTTCCAAAATTAGGTTTGGGTCAAGACCAAATCGGGTTGCGACTAAAGTTATGGAATGAATTATGGTCGTGACTACAGGTTTTACTGTATTTCTGCAAACGAAGTTACTATATTAATATGAAAGGAACCGTGGCACGATATAACCGCGAACGTCAAAACCGCGCCCACAACAGCGTGCCGACAACAGCGCGCCGACAGAAGCATGATTTAACTTAAGGTAAGGTTTAGGGTTAGGTTTAGGGTTAGGGTTAGGTTTAGGGTTGGTTTAGGGTAGGTTTAGGNTTTCCAAGGCATCTGAAGGCCACCTGAAGAATAATGGATGGAAACTGATCAAGGAGAGATTCAACTTACTAATAAGGAGAAATTTTGTGTCAGAACAATCAACCAATGGAACTGCTTGCCTTCGGGAAAAATGTGGCAGCTTCATCATTTGTTGTTAGTTCCAAAGTCGTGTCTGACCCATGGACAATGTTCCTCCAGGCCTTCCTGTCCTCTACCATACCCTACAGTTTATTTAAGCTCATGCCTACTGCTTCGGGGACTCCATCCAGCCACCTCATTCTCTGCCGTCCCCTCCTTCTTTTGCCCTCAATCTTTCCCAGCATTTTCTCTTCTCCAGTGAGTCCTTCCTTCTCATTAGGTGGCCAAAGGATTTGAGTTTCCTCTTTAGGATCTGGCCTTCTAAAGAGCAGTCAGGACTGATCTCCTCTAGGACTGACCGGTTGGATGGCCTTGCAGTCCAAGGGACTTGCAGGAGTCTTTTCTAGCACCATAGTTCAAAGGCCTCCATTCTTTGGCGCTCAGCCTTCCTTATGGTCCAACCTTCACAGCCATACATTTAACTGGGAAAACCATAGCTCCATCACTGGAGGCTTTCAAAAAGAGATTGGACTGCCATTGGTCAGAATTGGTGTAGGTCAGGATCTCCTGCTTGGGCAGGGGGTTGGACTAGATCAGGGATCTCCAACCTTGGCAACTTGAAGACTGGTGGACTTCAACTTCCAGAATTCCTCAGCCAAAGTCCACCAGTCTTCAAGTTGCCAAGGTTGGAGACCTTTGCACTTGACTAGATGACTTAGTACAGTGGTTCCCAAACTTGGCAACTTTAAGACTTGTGGACTTCAACTCCGCTCCAGCTCTGCTGGCTGGAGAATTCTGGGAGTTGAAGTCTACAAGTCTTAAAGTTGCCAAGTTTGGGAACCACTGACTTAGTATATAAGGTTCCTTACAACTCTATTAATCTGTAATAAGTGCCGACCACTAGGGGCCGCCGGTGCGCTGCCTTGGAATCGCAGTTTCCTCTTTGTTCCCCTGCGGGCCGCCGTAGTTTCTTCTGCGCATGCTCCTTCCGGGCAGGAGGAGGAGAGGAGGAGGCGGCGGCGGTGCGGCGGCTGCGGAGCCGCCGAGGAAGGCGGAAGATGTCGGGTCTCCAGGCGGTGCGGATCAGCATCGAGTCAGCCTGCGAGAAACATGTGCAGGAGGTCGGCCTCGATGGCAGCGAGACTTACCTGCAGCCGCTTTCCATGTCGCAGAACCTGGCCCGCCTGGCGCAGCGCATCGACTTCAGCCAAGGCAGCTCCGGTTCCGAAGAGGACGAGCCCGCCCCGGCCGGAGAGAGCCGCGAATGGCCCGGGAGGGAAGAGGAAGAGGAGGAGGAAGGTGGGGTAGAAGCAGGAGGAGCCTCCTTCGGCAAAAGGAAGCTAAGCGGGGTGGGATCTGGTGGATACTTGGAGGGGGGGCCACCAGGCGATCTCAGCGCTGGGAAGTGGTTTTTTTTTGTTGTTGTTGTTAAAAAAAATCCATAACTGCAAAAACAATGCATGTAGGAGTCGGATCTGGTTGGATGAGGGACCACCAGGAGATCTCAGTGCTGGGAAGTTGTTTTTAAAAAAATCCATAACTGCAAAAACAATGCATGGGGGATAGGGGACCATCAGGAGATCTCAGTGCTGGGAAGTTTTTTTTAATGCATAACTCTGCAAAAACAATGCATGGAGGGATTGGATCTGGTTGGATGGGGGACCACCAGGCGATCTCAGCGCTGGGAAGTTTTTAAAAAAAAATCCATAACTCTGCAAAAGCAATGCATGGCGGGGGTTGGACCTGAGGATGGACTGTCTTTTTTGGAGGAACTGGGATTCTGCAAGGGTGGGGAGAAGTTGAACCTGGGTTTATGCATGTGGATGGGAGACCACTAAGAGATCTCAACGCTCGGAAGTTGGGGGGGGGGAATCCCTCCATAACACTGTTGTTCTTGTTTTTCAGGCCTGATAAAATTCCAGCCTTCTCTCTGGCCTTGGGATTCAGTGAGGAATAACTTAAGGAGTGCTTTGACAGAGATGTGTGTCCTTTATGATGTGCTCAGCATAGTCAAAGATAAAAAGTTTATGACTCTAGACCCAGTTGTACAAGAACCATTTACTCAAAAGCAGGTACGAGGCATAATTTCTCTTTATTCTGTTCAAATATTTGTTGCAAGTTTCTCATCTTGCCTTGTAAAGAGTTACACTTTCCAAAGTGTGGGTGAAGTCCCCTCTTTGGGTTATACGGATTTATTTGCTTGGTTTCTATCCATTTTTTTTGTCACACCCTATAGTCATGCATTGTGTCTATTGTTTTCGAAGGGGTGGGTCCTAGTTTTTAACACTTTATTTGCAGTCACCCAAAATCATCGGGACTCAGGCAGCATATAAATTTAAATAGTACTAAAGGTAAAGGTTCCGCTCGCACAAATGTATGTGCTAGCCGTTCCCAGCTGTAGGGGGCAGTGCTCATCTCCGTTTCAAAGCCGAAGAGCCAGCGTCAGTATGACTAAACGCCGAAGGCGCACGGAACGCTGTACCAGGGTTCCAAATAGCATCCAAAAGTAAATCAGAGTCCGAGGCAAAGTATTGCTCAAAGTTCTAATTTATTAAGAGAGCCATGTTGGCACATCTGGGAATACCTGATTCTGAAAGCTTCCTGGCTTTCCCCACCCAGTTGAAAGTTCAAGATCCTGTCTCACATCCACAAGTCCATCATATGGTCCAATCTTCCACTGCCATGCTGGTAGCTTCCACCCATCCAGTTCCGGACAGGTGCAGCGACAAAGGATGGCCTTGGCTTTCTAGAAAGAATGTTGTTATGGCTACATATCACCCAATTCCGTATAATCCCCCCTCCCATTTTCCAATCATCGAAAATGCATAGTAGAATAATAGAAAGTGTGGCAGGCCTGAAGTCCAAAAAAGAAAAGATTGCTTCCAGGCCTGACACGCTTTTACCTTCCCACGAAAGGTGGTTCTTATTTTTCTACTTACAATTTTACGTGCTTTCAAATTGCTAAGTTGGCAGAAGCTGGAACAAGTAACAGGAGCATTACACAGCTTCGAACTGGCAACCTTTCTGATCGACAAGCTGAGCGTCTTTGCCACTGAGCCACTGCGTCCCTTTAAATAGTACTACTGTATTATAATTATTATGATATCAATGAACAAGGATCCTCAACTCCAAATATCTCCTGAATCCAGGCTGGGTGATTTTGTGTTTTTCTGCTTGGGGACAATAAATCCCACAGCCATTAGCCATGGTGGCTGTTGCCTTTGATGGTCAAAAACATCTGGAGGCCTCTGGTTTTGTATTACTGTATTAAATAAATACTATCAGATTACTTCAGCCATTCGCATTCCTGACAGGAGCAACTGTAGAAATCTCTCGGTCTGTTGTCCGAGGGACACGATTGCATTTCAGTTGATTTGAGTTTCTTTCTTCCATTTCTAGAATCCTCAGGTGTTGCAGCTGATGTCCAAGAAAAAATCCTTAGCTGGAGCAGCCCAGATTCTTCTGAAAGGAGCAGAAAGGTTATCCAAATCAGTTGCGGAAAATCAAGAAAACAAGCGGCAAAGAGATTTCAACTCCGAACTACTCAGGCTGAGGCAGCACTGGAAACTGAGAAAAGTGGGAGATAAAATCCTTGGAGATTTGAGCTACAAGAGTGCAGGTGAAACCAGCAGGGGATAATTTGTGTACATTTATTTCCAGTGCTGCACAACCATTTGTCTGAAGTGATGTAGGATTTCCTGCCTGAGCAGGGGTTGGACTAGAAGACCTCCAAGGTCCCTTCCAACTCTGTTATTCTGTTTTATATAAGTGTGATAATTGTTTGTCTGTGTGTACATACTTGTACATACATGTATATATGAATGTGTATGTATGCATGTATGTGCATACACACACACACACACACACATACATACAGGTAGTTCTTGTTTCACAAACACAAGTCCAAAATTTCTAGGGAGGTGCTAGAAATTTGAGTTGAGTGTTCCCCTGTTTTACGACCTTTCTTGCCACAGTTGTTAAGGGAATCCCTGCAGTTGTTAAGTGGTTAACACGGGTGTTAGCTTCCCCCTTGACTTTGCTTGCCACAAGGTTGCAAAGAAGATTACATGACCTGGGGAAACAACAACCGTCATAAGTATGAGCAGTTGCCCAGCATCTGAATCACACAGGGTCGGCCTCCTTCGGGTACCATCTACCAGCCAATGCCACCTGGCTATTACCCGGGGGAGGGCCTTCTCTGTGGCAGCTCCGGCCCTTTGGAATGAACTTCCCGCGG